CAGTTCATCAGAGAGTGTTCCCCTGCCATTGCAGAAGGCAGAGACGTAGTAAGCAGAGGTCAACTCCTGAAAGTCTGTGTGCCTGGCTAAAATATTATATAATATGTTAGGCTAATTTTCCTTCATTTCATATTCACATACATTAGTGCAGCTTTTGTTATATACTTATCCTTATGTAAGTTACATCTGTTCTTTTATTCACTCATCCGTGTTTGCTCTGCTTTCAGATTTATGAAACAGGCATTCCACTGAGCTCAGCAAATGATGGGCATAATAACTTATCTAAATTGCAAAGTATGTGATGCCCTTGAGGTAAACTCAGATGTGAAGGTTTTATGAAGTGTCTCACATGTGGAAGTGTAGGAAAGTGTTTATTTGCCAACTCCTGTCTATCCTTTGGCTGTTCGAATGATGGTAAGAGGATCCTATGAAACTGCTAGGAAAGCCTAGGGGCTAAATGGAAAAGCAGAACTACATTATTATCTTCACAGGGGAAGCAGAGCTACACTGGCACTTGCGCTTATTTGGCTCTCCTCTCTTTGGATGTCAAAAGTTTCTGGTTGATAGGCTTTAAAGTATCTATTTATTTAATGAAATGCCTCTCACTGTAACAATATTGTGGGGCTTTATTAATGAATTTATTCTTATGAGATAGGAAAGTAATCTCTTCTTTATTTCTTTATTTTTCCTCTTACAAGACTGCAGAGAAACAAGGGTTCTGTAGAGGAATGGAGGAGCCTTCCTGCTGTTTTATGTATCTGAGATACTCTAAACCCCTCTCCCTGTCTGTAGCTGCTCTGGAGTCCTGCAATGGCCACGCAGAGACCTGGTTCCTTGAGTTATACCAAGGACCAAGCTTTACTCCTTATCCCAAGGTTCAAGTTCACAGCAGAGGTCACTTATGTCACATGTAGCGCTGTCGGCAAAGAAACTAGTCAATAATGGCCAGACCTGGCTACTATGGTAGTATCTTCTCTTGGTTAAGACTCGGTGGTTGGATGGAGTCAAACTATCAGGTTAGTTCCCCTCAGTCTTGGAAGTTTCCTGTTCATTCCTGCTGAGCTTTGTGCATTAGAGGCCATTGCTCAAACCACGGGGCTATGTCAGTCTTGGTAAAACAATAATTTGAATTAAGAAGTGAATTTACACTTTAAAATCCAGCAAGCAAAAATACATTTCTAGCTCTGTTCACCGGTGAAGACTTAAGCCTCTTTAGAAGAGGAGGTTTGATGCTTTTTCCCATAGCATTTCCTATTGACTGCTTCAGGGGGGACTCCCATTCATAAGGGGGGCTTCAGAGAAGTCTGTTCTCATGACATGCTGATGGTGTGATGTTTACATACATTTGCAACTCAGCCTATAACACAATTTGGACAGAGCCAGTAACTGAAATAGAAATATCCCTGAGCCCTAGTACGGTGCCTTGAATCCTCTAATAACCCAGCAGCCTGGCCACCAGCAAGTTCAGTTTGGGAATTTCTGACAACTATAAAAAGAAAGAAGGCAGTAAAAATTATTTTTGGAGTGCCCATGGTCCTGAAGTGGACCAGGACTCAGTCCCTCTGTTAATTGCTTGAAAGGTCTTAGACCAGGGTTTCTCTTTTCCCAAATTGCTGATACAAAGCTCACGTTTTATCCAGGGGACTGCAAGGAAAAGTGTCAGTAAAACCCTGCAGAAAGGGATTTTGAGAGACTGACTCAACACATTTTTCCTGCCTCTGAGGCATTCTTTAGGGGTATCTAGTACGTGGGTAAAGCCTCTGTAGGAGGATGTTTCTTAATCTCCCAAGGTAATCTGGGCTCTCCTGGGTCAGGTCTCCTGGTGGCTGGAGAGTCTGTAGCCTGGTAACACTGAGTAAGGCATCTTCTGTGCAGTGATGTTCTCTTTTCTCTAGCTAATTACGAGGTCATTTTTCATTCCTTTGTATTTAAAGCTTCCAAAAATAATTAGCCCATTTGATGAATTAGTTCCCTTAAAAACATAAATTTGTAAGTGAATTGGATGAGCAGCGCAGCACCCAAAACACTCAAAGCTACTCGTATATTGCTTCTTTGTCAGTCCTGTAAATTCAAAATGGCCCAGATTAATTTCAGACTAATTTGATGAGCCCTCCACCGTGACAAAAGGAAAAGTGTTTGGGTGTCAGGCTTTGTGCCCTCCTATGTTAGGTTTCAGCCTGAATGATTTTTTTTTTTTTTTTATGGCTGACTCCGGCATATAAAATTCTGCAAACGGTGGTTTGTAATGGCAATTCTGACAGACCCTTTAACCATTTGGAAAATCGGCGCTGCTATAATTCCGCTGCATTAGAGAAAAATGTTGAGTGCTTTCATTAGGTGCAACAGCTGTTTCTATTGCAAAAGCTGAACTTCATTGGTGGTAGCGTAGCTGTCAGCTTCCCGGAGTCTGACATTTATAGCTGGTCGTATAAACTCCTTTATGTTCCTTTTCGCTTTCCAATATATGTAAATGAATTCAATAGCAAAAATACAAATAACTACCTTGTAACTAGATCCATGTGAAGGTTCTTTGTAGGCTCCTACAACCAGCGTCACGCAGTGAGCGACCGGAGAAATACTTAACTTTTGGAAATGGTTCTAGCATGCAGTAATCCACACCACATCAATTTTTACAACTTTTGGAAATGGTTCTAGCAGGAGTGACATGCAGTAATCCACACCACATCAATTTTTAATCATCAGATTTAATCCTCCTTCTTAATAATGTATTAGAGTTCTTTAACCTAGCGTAACGTTCTTAATTAGAGCTGATTTAAAAAAAAAAACCCGCAACACAAAACAAACAAACCAACAACAAAAAACACCCCAAGCTCCCTGAGCGTTTTCCTGTCTCCTCTATTAAAAGAGACTTTTTTTTTCTAAGAACATGCTGACTATGTGCTGAAATTGAATTTTGGAAAAAAGTAAAGTAGCAAAGAAATATTTGATGATGTTTTTCATTTCTTTGTTCTGATATAATATAGAAAAATATTTTCGTATTATGAGACAAACAGTGAGTTCTGCTTGGAACTATACGCCTCAAATCCAATTGAGTTGTGAAAAAGTGAAATGTGAAACTATGTTCAGAATGCGAACAAATTTTGAAGTGACAAATTTTAAAATGGCAGAGAGCAGATTTTCATGGATTGGCAAATTTTGTTTGCCAATATTGAATTATGCACAGATTTGTGTGGCGTAATCTGGGATACCAGTCCATTTTTAAATGTTAGCCTGGTTTCCATTAAGATTATACTGAAAGTAAAAGTATCCAGAGAAATACAAAGGAGATACGTACATACATATGAATATACTGAAAGAAATACTATGTTTTACTTAATTTACAATGAAATATTAGCCAGTATCTGTTGAAATATGTGGGGATCTTTTTGGTACCGTCAACCAACTTTCAATGAGCCTTTAATTAATATTTAGGTATCTGGGTACTTGGTCTAACTTTCAGCCCCGATCCTTTCTCAGCAGCCTCTGAACTGAGCTCCTTCAGGGTTGTGAAAATCAGGCTGGATATTCAAACACCTCACTGTTGATTAAAATCCTGACTTTTGGAAAAACTTTGGAAAACTGTGAATATGTCACTGGCTCCTTGCATTCATCTTGTTAGCAATCGTTATTATATTTGGCAGGAGATATGTATGCAATTGTACAAATATATATATAACTGCATATCATATGTAGCATTTGTGTTGCAAAAGATTCTCATGGTATCTGTAGGTAGGTGTGAGAGATTTAGAGACTATCCTGGTGTGATGTAAAAGCAGTGTGAATAATAATCCTTTGTTTTGCCTCACGAGCGTTTGAAAGAGATGAAACCCAGTCTGTCTATAATTTGGGGCATTTAGGTTTTGGTTACTTTCTGAAAACGTTCTGTACTTGGAAAAGTTTATAATGAGCCACTGATCTGAGAGTTAACTGAGGCAACACACCTACACAGGCTTTCTCTCAGAGGAGATGCCTTCTGAGATTTTAATTCAAATCACTTGGGAACAAGGACTATGAAAATACCTTGACCCTCCACACCTGTGCTTTGTGTCAGATGTCTCTGTCTCTTTGCTCATCCTGGTTACACTGGCTTGGTACAGCCAGGGTTTGGTTTTTGAGGATCTTCCCTGAGATCTCTCTGTAAATCCTAAATCTCAAAGTGACAACTTCAAGTCCCACCGGTGCAGAAAGTCAATCCCTTTGTTCTCCAGGTGCAACCCAGGGCAAACAGGTGTCCGTCTGGGATCTGAGGGAGCCCTAAGACACGGGGTAAGACTGATGCTCTCAACCATCACCAACATCTTCCCTTCCTGGTGATGTCTCACTAGCCTTTTCCTGGGAAGTGGCTGGATGCTGGTGGTGTCGAATGCCCAGAGCTGTGATTTGCTCTGGTTTGAAAGACTTTTTAAAAAATGTAAGATGCTCCTGTTACATCCCAGCCCGACCTGTTATTCATTACGTGGGGTCAGATTCCTCTGTACAGAGAGCCAACGCGAAACTCCCAGCATTTCACAAATCCTTTAGGAATTAAATTGACCGGTTGCTGTGCAGAGACTCCAGAAAGGCATTTACATGTCTCTTACCTCTCGCGTCACCAAAGCCTTGTTTGAGCTCCACTAAGGGACCTAATTTGATGGGCTGAATTTTATTCCCTAACAACTCACCCCCCCAGCCCAATTAGCACAGTACCCCATATGACAAAGATGGAAGAGAAATATAATTATCAGCTAAAAATAAGCTATTCAGTTGTTTGGGTGGTGGGTTGTGGTTTTTTTTTTTGCATTAGATAACCACATGAGGCTATTAACATGGACAAAGATCAACCGTAGGGGCTAAAGCAAATAATAAATATGTATTTGTGGCTGGTGCCTGAGCACTAACAGAGTTCAAGGCACACAAACGGCACCTACTTTCTTTTCTACCTTTTGAACAGCTATGACTCAGGTGGACATTCACTCCCCGAGGAACAATACACTCTCCTGCCCTTTGCTGCAGGTTTTTACCTTCTGAATTTTATTCCACACACGTCCTTTATCACTTCTTCTTCCTTCAAGGGTGTCCATGGCATCTGCCATTAGTGACTGCAGCTGTGGCACCAAGATAAAAATTATCAGTGTGGAATTCACACAGAAATAACTTCTCTAAATACACAGATTAAAACCTAATTAAAAAATCATTTGTACGCTGATGATTTTATTACTCATCTTTCACACAATGAGCACTGCCACCTCGTCTTTGCTTCAGCCATTACATTGTATTATTGTGGGTATAAAATACTTAACAATGGGAAAAAATCCTTTGGAAAATTTGTATTTAAGCCTATACGTTTTAATGCAGTAAATGTTTATACTTAGTAAAGGGAAGACTTGGGTTGTAAAGAATAAGGGCTCCATATTTCATTCTTTAGCTGTCTGGGATATTCTGTGTCGTACATGAATGCTTTTTAGTATTTTCTCCCAAGGCTAATGTATCATAATTTAAGGCAGCATGTAAAACCTCACAAGAGGACAACACTAAAGCTGAGATGCTTTTACTGTAGCTGGAAGTATCGAGCTCATTTTCCTTGCTTTTACTATCCTTTTTCTCTGGCAAACTCTCCCTTCTCCCCATCATTCAGCATAACAGAGCATAAAAACAAGGCTGACAATTTCTAGTGTAAACTATAAAAAGAAGCTGTAGGAAAATACTTGCTAATCAGTCCTGAGTGTTAGAGGGAAGGCTAAAATTCAGGTTAGTTGTAGTATTGCCTCACTCCAGTACCCTTCCAGCTTTGTCCTAATATTGCACCCTTCCCAAACACTTGAAGATGTTTCAATTGCTCTTAAATCAGTGATGGAGAGACAAGGGTGGGGTCCAGGGTCTCCTCCTGTGAGCAGCCATTATCATTGGCTTTTAGGAGAAACGCATATTTAGTTCCTGTGATATCGCTGTGCTCTATTAGGTCTATTAGAAAATGTTGCATTGGCTTTTAGGAGAAATGCTTATTTAGTTCCTGTGCTCTATTAGGTCTATTAGAAAATGTTTAGCTGGTTAAAGTGAACTCAGACAATAGTTTTTGGTTCCTCTTCCCAAATGAATTACTCATTAAAAGCCTGTATAGACCGGTCGGCGTAAGCCCTCATAGAGAAATTGTCTCTTCTTTCAGTACCTGGACAGGCAGCAGTCTAATATGGGTAGATAAGGTGATGAAACCTAAAACACCAGTGTTTAAACTCATCTGTGCAAGATATAAAAACGCTGCTTTGCGGTTAAGGAGCAGATCTGTATTTCCTCAAGTTTACCTTCACGTTCAGGTTTTTGAAGTTAACATTATTCATGTTCCAACACTGGAAAAAGGATGCAGGAATCTTCTTTTGAATCTCTAAATACATTTGCTACGGATGGTTCCAGCCTGATCTCCCTGGGCTTGTCCAGCCATTAAGTTGAATCTTATTGGTCCAAACTTTTGATGAAAACTTTTATTTTATATTTTTTTTAAGTCATGCATCAGTATTCATGAAAAACAAAACTGCAAATTTCTGCCTCTGACTTTAATGCAAAAAGAGTCGAGAACCTGTCAGAAATTTTCCATCAGAATACTTTTATGACAGATAATCTCCTCCTGTGAATCCAGAATAGACACAGCCCAGAGATTAAGGGTATTAAGGGCAGAATGGGCAAAGCACAGATCCTGCGTCAAACCAGGCGGAGGAGGAACCGGTCAGGGGAAGGGGAGGATTTCTCCATCGCTTTTCTTGGAGCGATTCTGCCACCGGGGCAGCAGAGACCAGGACATCACAGGACATCCAGGCTGGAGACTTCATTGCTTTGGGCAAGAAGTTGAAACTAGAAAACTTTCCAATTAATGTGTCACTGCTATTGGTAGAGCCCAGGGAAAAGTGCCCGGTGTGAGCTCTGATTTTCATTTTTACCGCCCAAAGTTTTTCACCAGCTCTACTGGCAGGGAAAATGCGCGTGCTACGGGAGTGGACAGTTGGCAAACCACGTTAATTCTCCCAAAGCTGATATTTTTTGGAAAATCCCCTCCAAGGAAAAATGCCGCCTTTTAAAAAAATATCTTGTCCTCATTTGGTTTTAAATTGAAATGGATTTTTGCTTTTTTAGCAAGCTTTCATCTTGATTTATGATGCACAAATACGGTGACAGTGAAATCATAAACCTTGGAAAGACTTTCTTCAGGGCTTTTCCCCACTTGTATTCAACTGTCCAAGCTAACTGAAATCTTTATTCTTCCAGGGTCTATGAATAAATACTGATCTAAAAAGGCCTCAGTTGAGGGTCTCTGTGCTGTAGATTAGGACTCTATTTATTTAGTTACAGGAAGGTGTTTGCACAGAAAAGTTTATAACTGAAATGCCTGTGGGATCCTTGCTGTAGCAGTCCAAATTGCACTGTTATAAATTCGGTGTGTTTTAAACTTTCTACAACTTATACTGTATGTGATAATACACGTTTGGCATCTTTAGCATTTCCTAACTCACACAATTTAACTGCCTGGCTTGGTCATAAAGCCTTATCTCAGTTTTACCAACGTAAAGTCAGAATGACCCTGAAGAGGAGTTACTTTAAATTTTTATTAGTGCAAGTGAGATTAGAATTTGGCCAGCTCAGTTTCCCTCATGGAAAAATTTAGGTATCTCTTAGAAATGCTGCTGAAGCACATGGAGTCAGCCTGGATGCTGCTGTTCTGACCCCATGGACGTGGAGGGGCTGCCTCTGGAGCATCCAGTGAGGGCTGATGAATCACACCAGTACAGCCCAGTCCCTCAGATGTTTCATCCAGCCTGGACCCCAGTGAAATGAGGAGGATGACAGGCAGGCTGAGCAAATGAGGATCTCTCACTCTCTCCCTGGATGGTTTGGGTGTGCAGACCCAATGTTGGGCAGCAACGTTGTGTGCTCGGTGTGGTAGGGTAATGGTCCCTGCTGGCATGAGGAGCCCGTGCTATTCTGGTGCCACCAGGAAAGGCAAAGCCCATTAATCACTCCCTGGTAGAGCCCCTCAGCAAGTTTTTGCTCGCAGTCTTGTGCCTTAACGCTGTGGTGCCTGAAGTTCACTAAAATATTCTAGCTACAAAGCATCCGAGCCTCCATTTGCACTTGCCGACTACAGATATATTTCACAGCAGGATGACAGGACAAAGAAAAATAAATGAATACTGAATTAATACATTTTAATGCTTTGGACAGGGTAACTGGTAGAGCTTTTCCGCCTTTATTCTCTTAAAAATAATTTTTACCTTGGGCTCAGTAAACAAAGCGTATGTGTTTTGTTGAAAGATTTACAATCTGTCACTTAAATCTCCCAGCACGGACCCTCGTTCTGCCCAGCCCTACCCCTAAGAGTCTGAAGACCTTTGTCTTGGGTGGTCTAGAACCTTCCCCAAAAAGCTTTCCAGGGAGGTCAGGCGTATGATTACGACACAAGAAGATACAGGCAACAACGTAATAGCCTGTGCCGGACGTGTGATGTACTGAAAATAGTGAACCCTGGAGAAAAACCCACCTCTGAAATATGTACCAATAACTCAAGACCCTTTAGTCAGCCTTCAAACGTGGGCCTGCTGCAGTTTAATAGCAGAAAACTTGCATCAAAAGGAGAATGCCTTTTAATAGCACAGCTTCTTCCCCATGTCGGTTCCCCTTATCTCGCGCCCAGACTTCAAAGCCTGGCAGGCACCTCCCGCGGTTGCGGGCCGCTGCTCCTCTTCCCTAAAGCGAGCCGCCGCGAAGCTTTAATTCTACAGAGCTTAGGAGCTTTGCAGGGCTGCAAACAAACGTCAAGGGACTGGCTTTTGGGGAAAGCCAAAAGTTTTTTTTAGTGAAGTTGGATCAGCAAAATTGGACTGCATTGAAATGGAGGGACAGTGGAGGGAATTCTTTATTTTTTTTTTTTCCTTTTGCTAGAATGAAAATGTTTAAAATTTGCATGTATGTGAGCTCCCTCCCTTCCCCACCAGAAAACCTTGTGGAAGAATAACCACAAGGCACTCTCCGATTGCCCATTATCCATATACTATCAAGCTGTTAATGACTCTAGTCTTGCAACAGGCCTGCTACCATCTCTGCCCTTGTTTTACAAAGAGAAAACAGAAGCAGAGCAGGTAAATCGGTTTATTCAGGGACAAGGAGTAAGTTGTAGATGGAGCCAGGCAAGAAAATCTTTTCTCTGCTTTCCCCCCTTCTCCTCAGCTTTAACCAGATTCGGCCAGTTTTTGCTGCAGGTGGCTCCTGATGTTAGATATCTTAAAGTAGCACCATCTGAATAATTGCAATCATTTTCCCAGACTGATTTGGGGAGGTTTGGGGGAAAAGAAGAGGTTTTAAAAATATGCCTACAGATGAGTCATGCTGGTTCTATAAAAGTCATCCTTGCAGGTGATTAGCACCTCCTCTGACAAAGGCACTGCAGTAGGATTTTAGAACTACTTTAAGGTCTGCAAAAATGACTTCTGTGGCAAATTGCAGCGCGGCGCTCAGCCCCAGCCCTTCCCTCCCTTGCCTCGAAAGGCCAAAACAAAGTATTAGGAATAAATACTCACCAGTTTGGCATCCTTCCTACTGACGTCCTGCAGGTAGGGAACGGTTGCTAGCTCAGCCATGGCTTGATTAATCGTTTGGGACTGTTCCTGGCCTCTCTGCAAGCGGCCGAGGAGGCTGGCGTAATGCAACTTCTCTATCCCACGGGAACACGCGCAGAGCCGGTCCTGTTTTCCCAGGAAAAGCAAAGCAGGTTACAGGGGAATCATGAAAAAAACCACCCCACAGTTATCCTTTGAGTTCCGTGCCTTGAGGCTTATCAGCATGTATATTTGCGCAGGTAATGCTATAAGCAATATGGCATCCAGCACCTTTAAGATAATG